GGAGTTCACTGCCTTCAGTTTCTTCCGCTGGCAAATGTGTCTGACTTGATCTATATTTGAGTCTTACTACTGCATTTCTGTGCCAGTTTCTACAGTTTCAGCATCTCAGCTTGAGTTGGTGAGAAAAATATTTGCTAGTTTGGGGGGGGGGGGAAATCATCACAGCCGTGTTTCACAATGTTCTCTTGGTTCCTAATTAAGTGAGGGATTCTCATTGAATTTTTTTCTCCAAATAATTTCTTTGCAATGTTTTCTATTTTCATTTCCTTTCTTGATCCTTTTAAAATCACCTCTTACAAAACATGTTTATTTTATGGTTGAGCAAGGATATTGTTATTGAAAATGAATGTGAACTAAAAGCACAGGTTTTTTTTTTGTTTTAATGGTTAGCATGTTAAAGTTTAAATATGAATTCTGGAACAAACAAAGAGTTAAAATATTTTATTTAGGGACAGATGTAAGATTTAGCTAAGATACGCTAATAGACAAGTATAGCACCAAAAGTCATTGCAGCTAGAAGAAATGGAAAGAAATGGGAAAGATGGCAAAGGCTCTTTATGAAAAATAAAGAGGAATAATTTATATAATAATTCTGAAGATACATATAATAATTGTGATGTAAAATACTGGACACAAAGTAGTGGCAAAATTAGACCATTGGAAAAAAAATCTGATTTCTTGATGTTCCCACTAGAAAAGTCAGCTTCAAAATGTAACAACTTTCTGCTTTACGTCGAAAAATACAACTTGTGCTTAAATTTGTAAGAATCATGCCAGTGATGGGTTGCATGCATATGATTAGTTACAGCACGGAATCAAAATCTTTCTGAATCGGAAAAAAATTATCTGATTCAGTTTAGTCACCTTTTTAATAACTGATGTCAGATCTTTTCCAGCCATAGATCTCTGTAAAACAAGAGGGATAGGAGAACATCTTTTGAGTTAAACTTCTAACTGACGCATCCATAATTAGTGATATCTTGAGCAAAATTTATTTCTGAAAAGATAATTTTCTCTTTTTAGAAATAAAACTTTTTGAAATAAAACTACAGAGGAAAACTAAGCAGAGAGAATATAACCTGGAATTAAACCTGGATCCAGTATTACATGACTTGATGCTATCAAGAGGGTACTGCAAGTTAGTAAGACTCCATTACATGCTAGAAGCTGAGTGTTTGGTTAAGGGCTTTCCTAATGGGATTGTTAGAAATTTGAGCCCTTTAAAACTAAGTATTTTTGAACTGATTTAAGGCTTAGTGACCTGATGCACCTGAGAACACTTAAACAACTATAGAGAGACATTTATAGTGCTTAGGGTCTGCAGAACTTGATCTGTACAGAAGGTGTTGATGACTTACACATCAGTGTAAAACAGATAGAGGATTAGTATTTTGTAATTTGTCTTTTTCTGATGCACCCTCTTAATAATCTCACATGGTTTTTTTTTTTTTTTTATATGTTTTAGCGGGTACTTAAACAGAAATGACTGATAAGTTTCCAGGGCAAAGAGGAAGGATGAGGATTATTACTTGCAGGAAGGATGCATGAGGAAGAAAGGTACCTGGAGGCTGAAGGGAGTAAGAGACATAGTGCAGAGGTCAGGAATAGCATCTACCTAATGGCCACATACCTTATGCTTTCTGTCATGGCTGGTGCTGTCTGTTCTGGAAGCAGCACAGCATGAGCCTTCTTACCCAGCCCCCCAGCCACATCTCTTTTTCTCCTTGGGGTTTGATCCAATGTGGAATCCAGAGGCAGAAGCAATCCTCTGTTTCCTAAGCTTTGAGGAGATAGTTCTGCATGGAAACTTTCTTTGTAAACCTCCTGGCTTGTGGAAAAGCAGGATTCTCAGTCTCATGGGCACAGATTGCTGGGACCAGCATTCAGATGATTAATTTGGGCAGCAGCTGTGTCTAAGTGTTTTGAGGGTTGCAGAAGAAAAGTCTAAAGCTGGAATGAGATAAGTCTGTGACTCCACTTAGGATGTGTCTGCGTGCTGTGAGTCACCAGCTGAGTGTGCGAGGTGAGAGTTATCTTGGCATAAACTGAAGTGGTTCTTCTCTTCCAGAAAATGAATCACCTCTACTTCTGAGTATATCCTTTTTTTTAATTATTATTAATTTTTATGAAGTAAACACCTTTCAGTACATTCAAATATGTGGTTTTTACTGGGATTGCAGAGGACATTTCAAGTGAAGGGAACTCGCTCACCTGTTGGGGCCAGTATTTTTTAGACTTTTCCCAGAAGCATGTCTGAGTCATGAGTACAGTGCCAGAAACACTGTCCCCCTGGCACTGCACCCTGATTCCCAGACGTATCACCAAATAAAGACACTAAGGCAGTCAAAACTACCAAGTGGTCTTTGTTCTCAGTCTAATTCTGTTTTTTCTCCTTACTTTGTCCGCTTCCAGCTTTGAAGGGAGTAATTTTGGTAGTGCTACAATCTGGGGAAAAAGGAAGACGTTAATAGGATGTGTTGTCCCTGGAAACACTGTGCTCAGACTAGAAGTTGGCCTGGCATTAAGGAAGCCCCAGATTGTTAGTTTTCTCTTTAATTTAACTGATGTAAAAGATGTGAAGGTAGTGGTTGAGTGGATCACTGTTACAGTAGAGCTAGCAGAAGACCAAGAGAGCCTTCAAATTCTGTGTGTCCTCATGGATGGTGCCATGGAGATCTTAGTGAAACTTCATGTGAGATACAAGCTGCCTCGCAACCACAATTAGATTATTTGAATATATTTTTTTCATTGTTCTTGGGGGGAGTTGTATCTGTTCAGATAGGATCATTTACTTTTTGTGTTTTCCTTTTTACATATAAAGAGAATAGATAACGTGATAAGTAATTCACAGGTTTTGGTGTAGATGTTGGCACAAAATATAAGCAGCTGGATTTGGTGTACTGGGAAGCTCATTAAATGTGTGAATGGATCTCTCTTGGCATTGACTTTGCCACCTGTGTCACTTGGATTTTGAATTATCCAGTTAATATTTTAGTTAAGCTTACATCATTGTCTTGGAAGATAACATGGTATGCAACTAACTTCACTTTTATTCAGAAGATAAATATCTGTGGTGTATGATCAACTGAACTTGATATCCGTTTGTGACGAAAGGAGATGTTTTGATACTCAGGTTGCTCTTGCTTAATCATAAAGACCTGGCATTTGAGTATTCCTCAGGAAAACTGGGGCTGTGGAACCAACCTGTGATTTCAGTCCCACAGAAGTTGATTTGACTTACTGGTCACTTGACGAGTCCTGCCTTCTGCCTTCTCTCTTTCTTTTAAGCATGTGTTTGGGAAAGATTCTGGAAGATAATTTGTATGCTGCCTTTTCCGGTTTTAGGCAAAACACAAGCTCTTTTCTTTTTTCCTTTTTGCCTTTTTTTCTTCATATCTGCACAACTGCAATTAAAGAATGGCATTGGAAATTTTTCTGTATTGTTAATTAATATTTTGTTGGGTCAAGTGCCTTCTTTTTCCTATGATGTCTTTTGAAGATATTTCTATTGTGAAATAATGAGAACATTAAATTGTGCATATTTTTCGTACTAAATATATTTGAACTTTTTGCAGGATAGAAAGTGTACAGTGTGTTTTATAATCTAGCATAATTACCATTGTGAACTTTAGTCACTGGAGTTAATCAGTAAGTGGTTTGCTGTTGCAGCTAGTTGATAAGTTTTCATTCATAGCATTAAATTCTTCCTTCTATTTCTCATTTCTCCGACTGACCTGACTTTCCCATGATATGACAAAGAAAAACAGGGTGGTGCTAAAATGCAGGCTAGTTATTTGGTTTGTATAATACAATTTCTAGGGAGGGGGGGGTCAGGAGAAGAATCAGTACAGTTCTGAAGATGACCTGGTGTTACTGCATTATGTCCAGTAATTAGTTTTTCCACCATTAATAGCTTTTGCACATGTGTAAGAAAGACTGGTGGTCTTGAGCTTTCTTTGTTTTCTCAGAATATTCAACTTGCCATTAGAAAGAATCATTAGGACTTACCTAAGATTGTAAAAGTCACTGGCAGAGGGTTGCTCTTAATTAAAGGATATATAATTTTATAATTTAAAAGTACGTTTTTATCATTAGTAATACTCTGATGGGATATTTACTTTAATCCCTTCTCTTATTTCCTGAAATGTGGCATTTCTTGAAAGATGGAAAAGCTTTTGAGAAAGCTGTCTTTTTCTTAAATTTCAGATTTACATTTCAGAATATCTGATTTTTAGAAAATGAAGTCTAAACTGTAAATTAGATTACAGAAAATAAGATGTTTCTTAATTTACTCATAGCAGTAGCTTTCTTCTGTATTATGTATTAAAGTAGTCTTACAGTAGAAAAGTGAGGATTGTCTGCACATGATGGGAAAAACTTAAGAGGAGTGGGAAAGGAAAAAAGCAGGATAACTCTTTTAAATGAGACAAGCTGAAGTATTCAGACACATCAAAACATTATTGGAAACAGACTTTTGGACCAATTTCTTTTTGCAACCACGTATGTGCTTTTCCATCATCCTCATATTTTAAGAGTGAGGGTGGAATATAAGCAGATAATAGTCTTAACTACGAAGAATAGGCCTGTATCATCATCAAATTCATTACACTCACCTACCTCTTCTGCAATGTTTTTATTCAGCAAAGACAGTGAGACAGTCAGGTACATATATAAAACTTGGGGAAAGTTATTTTGCATTAAATGTCTGCTTAGCAAGATACCACCTACATAAAACCTCATGTATAGTTATTAGGGGAAACTATGTGAGCTGTTATATAGGTTTATTATTTATGGGAAAAATCCTGCTTTACTGTAACACTTAATAATTTAATCAATCCTCCTAATATCTTCAGGCCCAATTCAGAATTAAACCCTAAACACATCAGAACCAATGAAAATGGCTTTATAACCAAGCATGTTTTGACATCTATTTTTGTTTTAATATAAGTTAACTGTGATACTTAGTCAAGTACTTTACTTGGCAATATTTTGTTTTTCAGGACGGGAAGAAGAAGTTTGACAAGGAAAGTGAGAAATATTATTCCATCCTAGAGAAGCACTTAAATTTATCAGCAAAGAAGAAAGAATCTCATTTGCAAGATGTAAGCACTAAACACATCCTTACCCAGTTTCACATTTTCATAGAGATCATGACAACAAACTGGTTGTCTTCAAGACAAGTTGTATTTTGTTAATGTGGAATTGTGGTGATTTCTTGTAGTAACGTTTGCGAATATAAATTATTGAATGGGATTAATATGACCCTAATAAGAGTTAAGTATTTTAACAAGACAGTGTCCTACATGTCCAACTTTGTGTACTTCAAGTACAGCTAGTGTTTATTGGTTGCAACAACAGATTTATAGTACTTCAATAAAAATGTGACTTTTATAAGTGGAATATTTGAAAGTCAAATAATTAATTGGGGGGGTTGCTATTGAATTTATTACTCGATGAAATTATGCTTCTGTTTCACATAAATTTTAATCTGGGAGACTGAACTGAGACCACTTCAATGATGCTTTTTTATGCTTCTTTTTTGCTCTTTTTCACCTTATTCTGAGATTGCAGTATCATGCCTTGAAATTGTATCCACAACTTAACTTTGAAGAGTCTGTATGGCTGGTAAAAATTATTTGTCTTTGAGGCAAATTACAGTAAAACCAGCAATTTAATATCAATGACACTTTGGAATTGTGCCAAAAGTAGTTAAAAATTATTTTGGTGGGATTGCTGTTGTCGCAGTGACTCTTAAATCATGGGGATTAGTTTGCTGATGGAGTTTTCACAGAAGATGTGACCATCACTCAGTCACAAATTGTAGGATTTGTCTTCATGTTTACCAATAATACTATAATTTGAATTAAATGAGGCTTAGCAATTCAAAATTTGTAATAATGTTTATATTCCTGAATTGCCATAGCTGTCTATATAATACTCAGTCTCAATAACACATTAGTTATGTAGGATTGGTTAATTGTTCCACTTGTATGTAGAAGTTTTATACATACAGCTTCCACTTTACCTAAATATCCTGTGTATTGATGAAGCCTCTTTTAGAGGCTAAGCACCAGCTGAGGGGAAAAAACAGAAATCTTACCAAAATGTGGAAAAGTGAACTTAAGCACCAATTTACTCTAGAATATAAATCAAATAAAATATTTTACTCTTGAGTAATGACAATAATTACAGTCTAAAAACAGCAACTGAAGTGAAAAGTAGCAATTGTGAATCTAATAAGCTGTGGTAGAATAACAATGGATTTGGCTTAGGTATATAAACTAATGGAAAACCAGAGTAAATTTTTCCACTGTGTCCTTAAATGACATCTCTGGATTTAAAATCTTGTAACTGAGGCTGAGTTTTTTGCTTTTCTGGATGCCCTACTTGTAAAGCATATAGAGCATAAGTTGTCATTTCTGTCTTCCCCGGTTTTACTCAGCTGTAAGCACACTGAATCAGCAACATAGACCCACCATAAGCAGAAGGTACAATAGCAAATCTGTACCAAAAATATTAACCAGGGAGACTTTTGGCCTGTATCTGTACTGTAAATAGAAGGAGGCCAAGCACCAATTCCTGGCTTGAAATCCAAGTGATAGCGGCTGACACATCCAGAGTGGTTTGGGTGAGCACCATTTGTAGCCCATGTGTCCAGGAGGAGTTTGCTGGAGCAGCCCACAGCAGAGCCAGGGCACGAGCGAAGGACGGAAGGGTGCTGGCGGCTGGGGCTTTAGTGCTCAGCGCAAGGGAGGGGAAGTCCTTGCCTCAAGTCAGCGTCATTTAGTGAGATGGGAATTCCATTTTTTTGGCTGCTGCTGTCACACTGAAAAATACTTTAAAAACCTGCTGTTTCTTGGAATTGTTGAGGTTTCTTGCTACATTGTATGGGTTAAAGAGCATTGGGATGATAAATGAGTAGTTCTCGAACTGTATTGGGCTGCTTTACATAGCACGCTGGAGTGCAATTGAGAGCACCTTAATTAGGCATCTACAGTTTGATGGTCTGAACATATTCTATAGAGAGTGGTTTGCATATATTCATGTAATTGAAATGTGTTGGATATTTTAAGAGCCCACAAGCTTGCCTGTGCAGTTTACATAGATTATTGGACTTTTTTTCCTTTAGCATCAAAGAGAAGCTTCATAATTCTGTCTTTTCACTGCCTAAAGAAGTCCACAGTAGAGCAAGAAAGCAGTCAGAATTGAGTGATGTGAAAAAGTTAATAAGCTCCTGATTTTATTTCTCTGAAATCTGTTCCAGAATCAGGCATAAATATAGAGCAAAGGCTTCAGTCTCCAAGTGTATGTGAAGTTCTGGTATACGTTTTACTGATATCCTACATCAATGAAAATATTACTTACTGTAACTAGATATCATACAAGTAGAGACTCAAAATCATATCCATCAATTTTTTTTATTTTTTACCTGCAGTTTGAAGTCATAGAAAAATATGTGAAAATCCTCTTGGCTTTTGAAACTTTAAAATCACTTTTAAAGTGTTTCTTCCATGTTAGAATCCTTGATGTTCACACAAATTCATAAGCTTCAACAGAAGATGTATTTTGGAAATTATGATTTAGTCCCTGTATACCAGTGGTTATTATGGCCTTAATTTAGGAACCCATCTATATTTGAGATGGCACTTGGTTGTCATAAGTATCATTACAACTACAGTCTGCTTAAATGCTGTTCAGAATAGAGATGGATTTAATTAGCTGTTTAAATACATTTTCTGAGTCGAAGCCTGAAAGAGCTCATTTCTAAAACTAGATTCTATTACTTGCTTACAATTAAATGTAAGAGCTGAGTTCTGTCTCAAGTGCTTATTGACTGCACTTCTGTGAGCGAAGGCTTGCTGGATCATGTCCTAAAGTGGTGGCACCTGGTTCTGTTCAGCTGGGTAGCATTGCCTTTGCGGTATATATTTTGTGAAGTAAAACTACTAACACAAGAGCATCAAAGAAAACGGTGGCTGAATGCACTATATGAATGGCATGTGGCAGAGTTAATTCTGTCGTAAAGCACTTGATTATTGGAGTTTTGAGTGCTTGATTTCTGCTTCATAATATTAGTTTTTACACTTGATTTCCTGATTAGTTTTTTATAGGCATGGGAAGGAAGTGCTAGTACTGAATCACTTGAAACGTATCATTGAAGCCCATGCTTTGATGTAGTGCTAGAGCACTGTGCTGGGGAAGTGGATCAATGTTGGTAAGAGCCTGTGCGGCCAAATCACGACAGTAGCATGTCCTTAACTAAAGAAGCAATGCTAATTATGTATAGTGCTATTGATAACCAAGCCCTGCCTGAAGGAAAACACTGACTTTTTGCATTTGAACTATTACAAGTACTAAACCTCTTTTATGACGTGTTAGCTGTTTAATGTTTGCTATCAAGCCAAGGCAACATCTAGCTTTTCCAATTTTCCCATCTTTGTTATTTTTAATGCCAGAATTGAATCAGAGAATATACAGAAGTATACTGCTCTATTTTAACTGGCATACATCAAAAATAGCTGAACTGGTTTTACTTGTATTGCCGATACTTAATAAAAGTTCTTTTTGACCTAAGACCAAAAGGCATTTGCTTGAGAAAATTATTTCTTATGAAGAAGGATGAATTAAAATGGAATCTGCATCTCTTCTTTAGGCATTATCCACACACTACACTGCCTGTCTTTTAGGTCCCTCTCCCATGGCTTGTTTAAATTGAGGATAAAAGCCTATTACTCTTTATCAGCTGATAAGAGTTAATTCTTTAGTTGTTTAGGCAGAAGACTGTTTTGGTATGGGATCTTCATGTCGGGTGGTATTATTCAGGCAATTCTGACAAGTAGGTCTTGCGTTTGAAAATTAAAACGTAAAAAATAGTTGATTTATGAGGTTAAGGACTTAAGTATGTTTATTTTCCAAGAGCATGTGACTCATGCTATGAAATAATAAGTTTCAGGATGTCATTGTTAAAGACAGTATATTTAAGAAAGAAAATACCTTCTTGGGAAGGTATTTGAAGCTGAGAAATAGATATATTTCAGTGCATGTGATACTCAAACATTTCAATAGAAATATTAATCTTTTTGTCTCCCCTTAATTCCTAGTCTACTCTCTTCTATTTCTTTTTCTAAACTTTCCATATACCAAGGGCACAGTTCCTGCTGCCACCTTTATTTGTTTCCCTTCAGGATCTCCTAAAATCTAGAATATTAAAGCATAAAAAGGAAGAGGAAATCAAAAAGGCATGAGGAAAAGGCATGAGGCTAAAATTTGTAATGTTAGCTTCTTAAACTTGTGTTTAGCTGTTTTAAGTGGGTGTTCTAATTTTCAGGAAGAAAACTGAACCCCATGAAGCTTGTAAAGTAATCTTACAGAAGATCTGATTGTCAGTGACAAAATCTGCTTCTAAATCAATCATGAGAGTACATTAATGTTGTCTATATTTCATTTTGTCTTTCAGGCAGATACACAGATTGACAGAGAACATCAAAACTTTTATGAAGCATCATTAGAATATGTTTTTAAAATTCAAGAAGTACAAGAGAAAAAGAAATTTGAATTTGTTGAACCTGTAAGCTTTATGTTCTATTTTCTTCAGAATGCATGCATTTAAAGCTGAAAATTGTATTTAAGACATCTATTTTTGCTCCCATTTTTAAATTGTGATCGCGGGTTGTTTGTGTATAGACAGACATTAAGATCTTGGCTTGGGCACCTTCCATGTTTTTTAAAGGTTTATGTAAGAGTATCATATCTACTGTGAAGTGAAATGTCGGATGGAGTGTGCAGAACATTTTAATTGGACAACATGTAATGTTGTGTCTGTGCAACACATAATGGATGTTTCCTAATACCACGGTTTCATGGCTGAAATTTTGAGCCAGCTTTTGGATTTAAATATTCCATGTAGGCAGTGTATACATGTGGTTTTTTCCAGGTTATAAGTGAAATAAAGTGAAAAATCAGTTTTTGTGTAGGATAGGTAAATTTATTTTTTTTGTTGGTGAAGTTATTTGTCTTTAATTTACTTTGCTCATAAAAGAAAGCATATGTTCACACGCCATAAAAGAGGAAGATGAAGTTGTGTTTGAAGTCCATATTTAGATCTGGGGTTTTCTCCTGGACTGTGTTTCCACACCCCACCCCTAACTATCTTCTGGGTCAGTCAATACCAAAAGCTGCTTCAACATGATGTGCTAGCATTTTTCTGTGGCAGAGTAGTAGTAGTAGTACTGTTCATGTCATGCAGGACTAGCTTACCAATTGCCAATTTAGTTCCTACCTGTAGCCCTTGACACAGAACTTCCAGTGTCATCTGTCCCTTCCCATTAAGCATACTGAGCAGAGCAAGAGCATCAGTTGTGAAAGAGGAACATGACAAGTAGAACTTTTTCTCCCTCTCCACACCCTCTTACAGCTTCCTTGTAATGAACTGAAGCAGCACTCTTGACTGTGAAACAGGTTGAATCACATCTCTAACACCCAGTGTCACCAAGAAGAGCTTCTCAGATGCCTCCTTTCCATGAGATGAGAATGTGCCGTATAGTGAATGTTTGACATTGATGCAAACTAATGAACTTGGATTCAGCAAGCAGTACTTACAGAAATCCTATCTTTATGGCATACAGCTGCCAAATCTTAGAGACTAAAACTTTGCTCAGATTCCTAAATAAGAACATTTTTCTACCTGTCACAGATTAATCCAGAGTGTCTCTACTTCTGAAAAACTCTTACATCCTGGAAAAATCTAGCAATCTTGACCTAGCTCTGACCCTGGTATGGGAGACCTTATGTTCCTGTAAAGTAATAGAAACTTTCTGCATTGAGAAGACTTTGTACATCAGGAAATATTATTGTGCAATTGCATATAGTTAAAATAGGGCATCTTTAATCCTATGTGCAAGACAGAGGAGAAAAATAAATTTGATTTTATATATTTTAGCTAGAGATACTGAGCTTTATCCTGTTGACCAGGAGCTGTCCCCACACTATGTCAGCCATCACAGCAGCAGCAGCTGTGAATTACCAAGATGAAAGAGCCATTTATCAATTCACCAGTGCTGATACTGAGCAAGCAAGCAGGGGAGGTTACTGGTGAACTCAGGCTTGCAGATCTGGGTATTTTTGTCACCAGGTATATACATCCAGTAGGTAAAATTTACCTTTGAGTGCATCAGTTGCCATCCTGTGTCGGATCAGTAGGAATTTTAGCCCGGTATGCTGCTTGTTGCACACAGGTACAGGAAATGCTCTGGTAACTGGGTAATGATAGCCCTTGTGGGCAGTGTCGTCTGGCTCCAGGTGTGAATTTTTTATAATCAGTCTGAATGGAGATTAAATTATAGCATCAGTTATAAAATTTTGAACCTTCAAAATTCTTAAATTTTTGTTTCTAGTCTGTTGCATACAACATGCTGGAATAAAAGCATTTACTAAAACCCATAAGGCAAAGTATGCCAAGTAAATTATAATACACATCAGCAATACCATGTGACAAAAAAAAAAAAAAAGTCGTCAAAATAGGCTTCTAAAAATATGTAGTTTATGTAAGTGATGTTAGAAGTATGAGCAAGCAGGAAAGGACAAAACCTAACGCTTTAAAATCCCATATCAAAAAGATTGCCGTATTATTCATTTTCTTCTGCGCGCTCTACGGATGTTCAGATGCTAGAAGATGCCTGGTGGTATGTCTATATAGACATTCCTCCTCAGGAGCTCTGCTACTTGTAAGGGCCTTCTAGTGTTTGTGCTGCTTGTGTCTCTGATTTATCAGCTCAGTGTCACGTCTCTGTATAATTCTCAGTCTCATGTGTTACTAGTAGACTCTTTGAAGAAGAGTTTAACATAAAAATAAAGGCTGTTAGTGCAGTGAAGGAGGAAATTGTGACGCACAGGTGGAAGAAGGATAAGTTCATGACATGAGACTAGAACTTGAAAAGCTAATGGATCTGCTGGAGCTCCTTCCAAGATCTTCAGTTTGTCTATGCCAAAAGATAAGGGTGGTCTGGGAACCAGAGTGGGAGAAGTAGCATAGCAAAAATTGCCAGGTGTGTTCCACCTGGGACAGTAGGACAGTAGAAGTTGGTAAGAGTGGAGAATGTTCCTTCCTGGAGGAGAGTGGGGAGGGATTTTAAGGTACAAAATGTTAACGACTCATACTCTGAATAAAGGATTATAATATTTAGAGTAGACCTTTGCAGCTGCTCCTTGGGCCCTGGATTTCTCTACTGTTCTCTGCATCTTGTTTCAAGGAGTCGCTTTTGTGTACTAGAGTGTGAGTAACTGACAACTGCCTATTCGTGATCCTCCTCCTAGATCTTGATTTTTTTTTTTTTTCCCCTTGGAAAAGGTTTTCATACGTACAAATCATGAATTTAAACTTTTTCTCAAGGGCAAATTAGTGTTAAAATTTACATTACAGCAAGTTAAATAACAAAACAAAGTAAGAGACAATAATCTCTGCTCCTAGCTTTGCCTTGTGGACCCAGATAGTCCAAACCAATGCAGCTTTCTGAGGATGTTACGGTTGTTAGGAGAAATACAAACTCCTTCCTAGAGCTCCGCTTTGTCCCTCAGCAATGCCATGACTTCCTTGGCCTGTAGGAATCAGGGCACAGAGCTCATAAGCAGCAAACTATCTGAAATGTGAGGGTGGTCCGTTAAATATCATGAAAGCCCAGAATTGTTTATTTAAAGACAAATACACACACACCCCCCCCAACCATCCAACAAACCCTGCCTTTAATTGCATGCAGTTCCATGAGACTTCACTGTGAACGTTAAACTCAATTTCCTCTTCCTTGGATTTTCTACATTAGCTACATTTACTTTAATCAGATGGATAAGTACCTTCTGGTGCTATCTACTTATAAATAAAATGAAACGAGGGAGACAGGGACTTCTGGCTGATGTGCTGCAGGCCAAAGGTTAAATTCCTCCCCTATCCGAAACCCAAGTACAGTCTTCTTCCTGTGAGAATGAAATGACCAGGCAGACTTGAGGTCACCAGCTCTACATAAAAATAAATAAAGTCTCATGAAGTAGTTGGGTTTTGTTTCAGGTTCTGTGTTGAAATCCTCGCGGCGCTGGGGTAGTGAGCAGCATTGTATTACGGAGTTCAGACCTCGCTTTTTATTGATGTGACCGATTAGATAGTCAGATTGAGGTAACTAAGGCACTTGTTGAAATGAAAAATTGTTGATAGGAACACATCAGGCATTGTATATGGTGTTTGGTGAAACAAATCACCCCTTTCAAGTGAGGACCACCTCAAAATGCATTCTGAAAGTCTTTTTTTGAAAGAAAAAAGGTCTGTTTTTCTTTTCTTTGTGTTATTTAATATAAATCTTTTAAATTATGAGCCTGCCTTTAGCAGCAGTGCCACTTGTAACGCCACCACCAAGAAAACCCCACTGTGAGCATAAGCCTAGGGCAAAAGTCCTTGGCTTCCAGATCTCATCCATGCAATGCGGTGGCTGTACCTGTCCTGATGGAAGTGAAGATGCCTTAACAGCGAGGGCCCGTTGAGTACAGGACATTTTCTGATCCCTGTTCTTCCACTACTAGTGACATGCACATAGAAACAAATACCATCCTCGGTGTCAGTTGTTTCAACACAGAACTTGAACAAGCTGGTCTAGGGCTTGCATAAAATAAGCATGTTTTTACTTTTCTTTTATTCCTGTTTTTCTAAGTGCTCAGAGAGTATTTGACCGAGAGAACCTCAAGGCCAGTTCCTCTGCAATGCACAACTGCCAGAATACCTGAGCAGTACTTTAACTAAAATGCATTCATATTTTCCTCAAGGGTTTTTGTTGCTGTTTTTTTTACTTTCTGATAAATTCAGCTTTGCTGCCATCTTGTGTTAAATATTTTCCTCCTCAGTATTTCTCCGTATACTCTGTAAAAGCATTTTGCATGGTGGAAAATGATTTAAGTATTGAAGCTGAAATTTAAATGGTTTAAGTACATTCTCCAGAAATGCCCTTTAAACTGATCTTTACAATTCAGGCATAAGCTGACATACTGAAACTGTCTCCCAGCGGTTCCTTTACTGTCATTTTGGTGTGCTCTAACATTCCGCTCTGGCTGCAGTTTTGCTGAGCGCTCATATTGCTCCTGCAGTGCTTCTTTAGCAGAAAGGGGTGGGTTTAGCAGCAGGCTCCTACTTACAGCTTAAGTTAATCCACGTCCTTTTGACTGAAACAAGCCCAAGTAAGCACAGGAATAGTTATGCTGCTGTATCTGAAGGAGCTGTAGATGGGGACACAGGTGAGTAACTGGGTCTGGACTGTGGGCAGGGGTTTTGCACAGCTGGAGCCAGAGCAGAGCCTTGGTCATAATTTACGTACTTATTTTATACTTTATTAAAAAAAAAGGAAGATTAGTTTTCTTTCTTTTATGTAATTCTTTCTAGAATTAGATTATAAACCTTAAAACTATAGAATTCTTTCTATCTATTTACATAATTGGAGATTTTAGGATAAATTATTGTATTTGGACCTTCCTCAGAACTACTTGAATAACCAGTAAGAGACTTAGGGCCAGGTCCTTAGCTGAGATAATTATTGAAGCTGGGCAGATGACCATGTAAAGCTGAGACAACTTACACAAGCTGTGAGCCCTTCACTTGATGGTGATACCTTCATTGTTTGTTTGGTGGTGGGATGTGCTTCAGGGATTCACACCCATTGTAGCGGCCCTGCAAAATGTGGCTTTTATGCCCAAGGATCTCCTCAGTTCTTCAGCCTCCATGACCAACTCATTGGGCAGGCACGGGCTTTCACCACCTCTGCCTGAGGCCAGGGTTTCATGTCATCCTGTAATACCAGTAAAAACCAAGGGGGAAGTCCTCCCATCTGTGCCTTACCACTTCTGTTTGTGCCTGCACTGATGGTCTGTTAACCCTGAACTGCTTTAGCTTACTAATACAGCGAAACAGCAGGCTTCCCGAGGCCGAATGCTCACTGACGGGCTCAGTGATGCCAGACCTGGCACGAGGATGTGCAGGATGCGTGATGGAGTGGAACGGGAAAAGGGAGAAGGGACGGGAAGGGGAGAGCAAGACCAGTCTGGTAGCAGCAAGTCATCACGTTAGCGCCTCTGCCCAGACAGCTGCGTCCTCGATCTCTCATCTGTCAAGCTGTGGAATTTTCCACTTCAGAGGGTGTGGAATATCTTGTGATGCTGGAATATCTTGTGATGCTTTAAAATTGCAAAATACTATTTTAGCTATTCCCCTGAAATATATGTGTTACCTTAGTACAACAGTCTCTTAGTGAGCAATAGGAAAGGGGGAGGCAGAACGGTTTAACTACATTTCTTCAAGTAGGGCTGAGTGTAAATTTAAAGAAAATATAAACACAGTAAAAGCTACATTTTAAGCTGTTTCACTTACAATAATCTATGGTACTGGTAACACAAAGAAAGGTGCATTAAATATGAATTATGGCATTTTTGTTGCCTGAGTCTAGGCTACTTCAATAGTCAATGGAGAGAGATAGATGTTTCTGTTGGCTCATTCGTCTCATCCTGAAAGAGAAGTCTGAAAAAGGAAAAAGAATTATGCTCTTGAATACCTGGGGTTTTTTACTGGGTTAGGAGGCAGCCTGGACAGCCAGTTACTTAGCCTAGATGATTAGCTTTTCAGTGGCTGTAGTATACTGAGATAAATCTGTCCTGTTGGTATAGCTTTTGTTATTGTACTTCCAGTTAATATCTCTCTTTTGTTGTTGTTGTTGTTGTTTTCTTTACTTGGTTGTATGTAAGCTAAATTAAATATACAAAGAAAACAGTCCACAATAAAAAACTAAATGCTTGTTATTTAATAGCAGGTAAGAAGACTTACAGCAATGTAAAAACATTTTTTAGATTTAGAACAGAAATAATTAGAAGACTTTTAAAGCTAATAGGTGGAAAGAGTGCATTAATTCAACAGCTAAAATAAGCATTCAGAAAATCTAGTTGCACTTTTTACTACTTAAACATTATTCTAAAGCAAACTTTAAAAAGAATTTTCAACTGGATATGTACCGACTTCAACTGTTCTGTTGGAGTCAGTCACAGACATACCAGATAGAGTTTGCATTTTGTTCACAGCAGGAAGAAATAGTCTGGATTTCTTGTGTTGTATTAAGCTGTCCAAAACATACTTTCAAGAGTCTCGTTTGTAGAAAATAGGTCATAGCCCAAGCAATTACTATGAAGAGAGTGAAAAAATATTTAGAAGAAAAATACCCATGAACTCTGAAAGTATGAACTTAGAAAATGCACACCATCAAAGACTCCAGCTGAAATACTGGGCAAAATGACTAGGACAGTGAACGAAATTATTATGAAAATGACAACTTCAAGGTGCAAATGCCCGTTTAACACTGTCTTAAGGTCTGACCATGGATTCCTTGCTCAGCAAAGCTTTGCCATTGCAAGCAATGAGAGCTTCAAGTGTTCCGGCAGCTAAGACACAGAATGTTTTTTGCTGATGATTTGCCGTATTTTGCTGCTGAAAACTAATAGAAAATCAGCTTTCCTTAGTTTTTGCTTTCTAATACTCAACTGAATAGAAAAAGTGTGTAGCAGTTGCTAAGATTATTTTTTTCACTATTGCAGGCTATACCCGTTCCATATAAGTTAGTGTATATTCTGTTACATTTGTGTTATATAGCATTAAGAGTGTGTTTTAAAAGTATGTCATGCTTCTCAATTTTACCTTTTCAGCTGTTGGCCTTTCTTCAAGGATTATTTACATTTTACCATGAAGGATATGAACTGGCTCAGGAGTTTGCACCATACAAGCAGCAGCTGCAGTTCAATTTGCAGAATGTAAGGATGATTTGTCTTTACATTTTGTTTGCTAATTTAATTTCAGGATATTCAAGTTGACTCGTAGCACTTTATTGGAACTCTAAATCTTGCAATGTTTCAGTAAACTGAAATCAAATTATTACATGAATAGGCAAAAGTTGGTTTTGGTAAGTTTAAGTAGTAAAAAACCAGAAATGTAGGAAGGCAGCCAAGTTTTGATTAGAAAACACCGTAGTCCAGATAGGTTTAAACGTGTGTAAATGCTTTCTTGAGAGTGGGGCCTGTCCTTTGGAGTACGTGGATGTCCCAAAAAATTCTCCAACTGGTATAGAATGATGCAGTTTGCTTCTTTAAGGTCACAGATTGCCACAAAAAGCTTGCCCTGCTGTCTGCTGGCTTCCCACTGTATATAGAGCATACTTGGGAAGCCATGCTCTGGCTGTTCTCTGGGTTTATTTTGTCTGCATCAGAGAACAGGCGGGGCCTTCCTGCACGGTGAGCAGCTCTCACATGCATTGTTCCACCAGAATAAAGGATCTGTGATCTGTGCATAGAGTTTCTTTCAGCTGAGCAGATGGATTTTTTGCTGTAGATTGGTCTGAATTTGGTAGTAAGAGCCATACAAGATTAACTATGCACAAAAAATCCATAGCTTTCAGAAATAACAAAAATTTATTTAATTTACATACTTATCCACTCATTGTAACTGTTGTATGCAAGTGTGTATTTATTTCACCGTGCAACTCAGATGTTACACTTCCAAGGACATACAAGTAAGTAGATAAAAATATCTTTACACATGATTTATATTAAAACCACTATCTCTTGCTTTTAAGGCAAAATGTGAAGTTCAACCTATTAATATTGGGCCAGCCCTACATTTTTCATGACAAGTGACTTCAAAGTACAGAACAAATAAAAAAAAGTGAAGGAATTCTATGGTTCTGTCATTTACTCCAAATGCTGTGTTTTGGGGTTTACTCCATCTCTTTTCAATATCATTCTTTCAACAAAAGATACTCACTCAACAGAAATTTTTATAGCTCCACTAGCACCAAAGAAGCTACAACAGTTTAAAAGATACGACATCAGCTTTTGCGGATAGTGCCTTGTCCACTGAACTTAGGGAACATGAAACAGGTCTGGGAGTACAAGAGCACTTTCCTGTGCTCAATTGCTATTCCCCGTGGGTAACTGCAAAAATAAAAAGCTTGACATTTTGCATGTAGCATCTTGCTATTAGAGAGGTATATGTTGGTTCAAAGTTGGAAGATGGCATTGCCTTAGCACTGTTAATGTAGATCTGCATTCCTGAGAGTACTGCACTCTTCGAGGTTTTGCTGCAATTAAACATGTGCAGGATACCTCCGTAGCCCTTTGCCTTTTATGTCTGTTCATATGTAGGTATAGGTCCCATTTAAAATGCTGCTTGAGGAAATAAGGCAAAATCTCGTAGATTATTAAGCTTTTTCCCTTTGAATCAACTTGCAAATGATCTCTCTCTGTAGAGCATCTCAGCCCCTTGTCCTTTGAAGTTCTGTATTTGCTACTGCCATTTTTCTACTAAGACTCCTTTAGATAAAGGCACAAGGGGTCAGTGTTGTTGCACAGCACAGTTTCAGTGAAAGGGTGAAAAATGTGCTTCAGTCCAGAGATTTATTTACTTTAATATGGCAAATTCTGAGAGGAACATGAGCACACAGCACAGACCAAAACTGGCTTTGTAAGTCAGAATATGCTAATATCTTCTATGCTCATATGTATAGAAACAGAATTATTACAGGAGTTTTTCAATTTGAATGTTAATTAAGAAATAGTTTTAAGAAATAGTTAATATCTTTTAAATACTATGTAAGTACAACTTGAAGTTGTAAATAGACTACAGAGGTAGAGGGAGTTGTAAATTTAGGCAGAAGGAACAATGTATTATCACATTACTTTTTATTATATTTATACATCAGAGAAACATCTACATGAAGATATAGTGGGATACAGTACCTCATTCACTGCTGTTACACAGAAGTTTGAATTCTGGCTCCGGATCTAGATCCACAGCTTCCTTTTGCCAGCTGGGATTTCTACTGATTTGTCACTCAGTGCATCAACCAACCTCAGACTGACGTGGAAGATGT